CAAAATAAAAGTCACTCAAACTTTCAATTGCAAATTGTTTTTTCCTATCTGGCAAATAAATTTAGCAGTTTATAAATATACAGTATATAATACCTTACATTATATGTATAGGGTCCAAAAACAACTATGAAAAACATAGCCCGGCATATAGTTATGAACTGCTCATTACGCAAATTGTTTGTACACAATTTGGTATATATTTGTCAATTTGAAGTGAGCAATATTATACATGCATCATTAACACAGATCTACTATCTAATATCAAACAAAACAACTGTTTGTCCTTGTGGTTTGATGTGGTTGTTTGTCTAGTAAACTTGTTTTAACATTTTTCGCTGACATGACTGGAAGGGCGGGTGTGGCATGCCCGCAGCAGATGCTTACCCTTCACGTGCATCTGGTCTTACTCCCTTGTGGGGGTTTGTGATGTTTCGATTCCATTTGTCAGTATATTTTTCTTGACTACTGATTGTTGAAGAATGGCTAATTGGTAATTCTATAATTACTAAAGACATCAGGTCCACGAGACGAACAATTCACTAAAATGCGAGTGTGGACTCGGTTAGCATGGATATAATGCAAATATGTGGATTATTTAGTCAATACAACATACGTATAGCCATTTAAACTAACATTCTAGCATATGTATTTAACCAGATATGTGTACATTTACCATTCAGTAGCCATATTGGACGGCATCTTGAATTTGAAGGTGACCGCAATGATTGTTTTTTTGAGCACACCAAAAAAATATTGTTTCTCATAAGAGATAGAAGCAAAATAATATAATGAACGTAGTTTGTAGGGTGGGTACAATGTGACCTGAGATCCAGGCAAGCTATGGGAATCAGACCATCGCTTATATGGCGACAATTTACTATGCAGTGGGGAGCTACCTTGAAAGCACCATTCACAATCATCTTGAAACATATTCCGTTTAAGCAATTTATTTTTTGATACCTGTTCAACTACCTTGGTATAAAAACAAATTTAAATATTTAATATTATACCTATATACATCATATTGAGAAATGTATTACTACCCAAAATAATGCTATCGATAGGTATGTATGGGAGTAACAATTTCTGTATGGTAGCTTGTCAGTAGTTGTTCCTGCTGGACGACCAGCCGGCCAGGCATGCAAAATTCCATTTTTTTTTTGTATGTGATTGTCATTTTTTGAACTTCACGACTCCAAGTTTGACAAATGATATGAATACTGTGTAAAAATTAGCTTAAGGTAGCGGGACTATTATTTGCATACTTGTTTTCATCTTCTAATTGTGACTGAATGACTACAAATAGACCCTGGAAAGTATATATTGTTAGAATCGCCAGACTTCAAGCTTTTCACAAGTGTATTTTGCATGCCCGTATCTGCATTCTACGACGCGTTACTCAATCAAAGGTGAAAAATTACTTTTTCTGTAAAAAAAATAATTACGCATTTATGCTGGCGATAAGAAGTATTTTTTTCACTTTTCCTAGTTGTTCAATAGTCTGGTAAATTGAATGTGTCTGGTCAGTTTTATTCAAGCAACGCGTTTTAAATAATAGTGTGCTGAATTTCAATTACTGTTTTAGTCGCATTGCCCCCAACTTAAACCACAA